CAGGAGGAATGGCTTTATTCAAAGGTCTTCTCCCAAATGAGCTAATCTGGCAGACTTTAAATACAGCTGACCCTTGAACAACATGGGGGTTGTTTGAAAACAAAGTCAGAAATCTGTATATAACTTCTGACTGCCCCCAAATTTAACTGCTATTAGCCTGTTCACCAGAAGCCTTACTAACATAAACAGTCGATTAACATGTTTCTTATGTTATATGCACTATATACTTGTTCTTACAGTAAAGTAAGCTAGAGAAAATATTTTTTAAAGATTTATTTATTTATTTATTTATTTGAGAGAGAGAGAGAGCACAAAAGCAGGGGGAGGGGAAGAGGCAGAGGAAGAGGGAAAGCAGACTCCCCGCTGAGCAGGGAGCCTGATGCAGGACTTGATCCCAGGACCCAAGGATCATGACCTGAGCTGAAGGCAGACTTTTAACTGACTGAGCCACCCAGGCACCCCGCGAAAAGAAAATATTAAGAAAATCATAAGAGAGAGGGTCGCCTGGCTGGCTCAGTTGGAGGAGCATGTGACACTTGATCCCAGAGTTGGGAGTTCGAGCCCCAAGTTGGGTGTAGAATTTACTAAATAATAATAATATTAAACTTTGAAAATTTTTCTAAAAAAGAAAGAAAATCATAAGGGAGAGAAAATATAGAGTACTATACTGTATTTATCTAAAAACTGCATGTATCAGCGGACCAAAGCAGTCCAAACCCATGCTGTTCAAGGGTCACCATACGTTGGTGGGCTCTAACGCTTTGGGCATGTAACACATACAAATGTGTCCACTGACTGTTATTAGAACTTTTAAGATAAAAATTTAAAAGTGAAGCCAAATGAAAGGTTATGGATTCCTGATGCACTCCCACTGTCACCTAGAGTTCCTTGGGGAAAGCGGATTTAATCCCTGCAGCTGCTTCCCTAAGGAAGCAGGCCCAGAAAAGCCCAGCACAAGACTGGACTCGGGTCTCCAGCTCTCCCAGTCGCCTCTCCGGACACAAAACAGGCTCCTTACGTTCTGGCCTAAAAGCCTCCTCCTGTTTCCCATAGGGATCCCCACAGGGGCCCATTTGCAGATGGGCTATTTTTTTCTAATTTTTTTTTAAATTTTATTATGTTATGTTAATCACCATACATTACATCATTAGTTTTTGATGTAGTGTCCCATGATTCATTGTTTGCGTATAACACCCAGTGCTCCATGCAGAACATGCCCTCTTTAATATCCATCACCGCGCTAACCCATCCCCCTCCCCTCTAGAACCCTGTTTGTTTCTCAGTGTCCATAGTCTCTCATGGTTCATCTCCCCCTCTGATTTCCCCCCCTTCATTTTTCCCTTCCTGCTATCTTCTTCTTCTTCTTCTTTTTCTTTTAACATATAATGTATTATTTGTTTCAGAGGTACAGGTCTGTGATTCAACAGTCTTACACAATTCACAGCGCTCACCATAGCACATACCCTCCCCAATGTCTATCACCCAGTCACCCCATCCCTCCCACCCCACCACTCCAGCAACCCTAAGTTTGTTTCCTAAGATTAAGAATTCCTCATATCAGTGAGATCATGATACATGTCTTTCTCTGACTGACTTACTTCACTCAGCATAATACCCTCCAGTTCCATCCACGTCGTTGCAAATGGTGCAGATGGGCTATTTAAAAACGTTTATTTTGGGGGCGCCTGGGTGGCTCAGTCCTTAAGCGTCTGCCTTCTGCTCAGGTCATGATCCCGGGGTCCTGGGATCGAGCCCCACATCGAGCTCTCTGCTCAGCGGGAAGCCTGCTTCTCCCTCTCCCACTCCCCCTGCTTGTGTTCCTTCTCTCACTGTCTCTCTCTGTCAAATAAATAATCTTAAAAAAAAGGGTGAGGACCCTCCTTTCTAAATAAATAAATAAAAACATTTATTTTTCCCAAGCAGCTGTCAGAGAACTGAGATCCAAATGCTAGCCATGCCTGGGCTGGGCAGAATGCTGCCCCCACCCCTGCTGACTTAGGCCGGACTCCAGGCTCCACTCAGGGTACACAGCCACCCTGGGAGCAGTCTGCCTCTCCTGGGCCTCAGCCTGACCGATGAATGGGCCCCAAAGGGCAGGGCTAGTGCAGTGAAACCCAAGACCCCACAGCTCTAGATCCTACAGCTTTGTGGTAGAAGCTAACCTCCTCTAGTGCCACCCTTAATCCCTGACCCTCTCATCATATGTCAGTGGTCAGCAGAAATACATTTTGCACAGATACCAGCCCTCTCCTCAGGAAGATCTTTTCATTCCCGAGGGTTGGAGGGTAGCAGTGGAGGCGGTAGAGGAAACGGGCTTTAAACTGGTGGGGTTGTCTCTCTAGACATTCCAGGAAATGTCCTGGACATTCCTGCTCTTGTTAAGGGTTCTGCCTGTGTAATTCTTGGGCCCAACTTTCCGGGGCAGGAGGCCTCTTGACATAGGAGACCCACCTTCTGTTTCTTTCCTTGGCGCTGCTAGGACAGCCCGGCCGGTTGTTACTTCCTCTGCAGGACCTCTGGAGCAGTGCTGTATCCTCGTAAAAGAACAAGCAACAAGTGAAATTAATTTTCATCATATACTTCATTTAACCCAATATATCTAATATGTTACAATTTCAACAGGTCATCAGCATACATCACGAGTGAGCTATTTTACATTTTCTTTTTGTAGTAAGTCTTCAGAATCCGGGGTATACTTCACCCTCCGCACCTCTCAATTTGGACTAGCACGTTTGTTTCGGTGCTCCAGAGCCACGTGCCGACAGTGGCTACTGTGCTGGACAGGGGGTGGGGGTAGGGGCATCTAGAGACTTACAGGACCCATAAACCTTCCCATTCCTCGTGGAAGAACCTCCCGGTCCCACTCGTCCTTCTCGCTGCCACCTGGCTCCCCCCACGGGGCCGCGTGAACCTGCTCCTCCGCGGCGCCCCTCCGCTGCGGCGCCAGGCTCCAGGGCTCCCCCCCCCGCCCCCGCTCTGCCGGGCCGGGACACTTCGGCGCCCGGCCTCCTTCCCA